GTGGCCTCCATCTTATTTTTTTGGATTTGAGTTGTTTGTTAGTTTTTCCAATGCTTGACTTGCATTATAAAGTCAAAACTGTGCAAAACTCTCCAGAAACCCCTCATTTCTTTATATTTTATTTCAAGGAGCCAGACTTTTGTTGTTGTCTGTTAAGCCACTTAACTCTGACCTATGAGTCATCCAAGCATAAAAACAGCACCTCTGGGGGTAAATCAGCGCTTTATCTACACATAACAAACAACTCAACAAGGAAGCTGGACTGGAAATCAGTGGCGACGGCTCGTATGCAGCGAAGAATGATTGGCAACGGCTTCATTTTTTAGCATAACAATGAACCTGAGGCACTAGACTCCGACAGATACTGTCAAATCTGTCTTACTCATAGAAATACTACATGATGTGGCCCATTTCATCAGTGCCATGACAAAGTCTTTGTCTGAATTGGAAACATCTAAATAAAAGTGCCCTATGTCTATATGTCCAAATAACTGCACTTTAACAGATTGCCATTAAAGCCATTAAAGCAATTTAAGCAATACTAAAAAGTGCTTTAGCTCATTCCCACGACTCCTGACATTGCAGCTGCACCACCCTCCTCTTTAGAGCTACAGCACTTTTCCCTCTTTTTTCCAAAGTGGCTGCCACCTCTCCTCTCTCTGGAGCTGTCACCTCTTCCTCTTCCCTCTCTGGTGTTGCTGCCCTCTGCTGTCCATTCATGCTGAAAGATTCTGACATGAGTTGGATTTCCAGTTCTTTCATGCAAAACTCAGGTTTTCATCTGTCTTTAAACTCTTTGGTAATTTGAGAGATGTGTTGTTTAAAAGCTATCAAGTAAAAAGTCTCCCATGTGAGTAAGATGTTAAAATAATTTAGAAAAGAAATTAAAACCATATTCAGAGATTCATTGTGGATGAAAACATTCGTGGTTATCAATAGTTAAAACATTTATACTATTTTTCTCTTGCCATGTTCTTTCAAGGCCAAAGAAGTAGGAAGTGTTTTTTTCTCTGTGTGTTTAGTTCATTGAAGAAGTTATTTAATTCACCTGGAAGATTTTTTGGTTGTTTTCTTGTGTCACTCAGTTCTTTTCTCCTCTCTTCGACAGCAGAAGTCTGAGTGACGACATGTTTCTCCAACTGAAAACACAACGTCCAGATGAACTGGATCAACTTTCTGGGATATTTTTCACCTGGATGATTGAGCGTGCATTGTTATTCTCTCTTTGTTTTTGACATCTTCTTTGTTGTATAGTAAGGTATAGTGTCTAAAAAAACAGAAGCTTTTTTTTTTTTCAAATTTTTTTTATTGCTATAGATTTATAAATATTGGGATTGAAAGAAACATGGAGCATGTAGTGAACATCAGGTCTTGTTTGATCACAGAATGATGTAATGTAGTATTGTTTGTTTCCATTTGTGTCTGCATTTCTGGTAAAATAATAATAATAATAATAACATAAAAATATTTTATTTAATTAAAATAGGTGAAGGAAAGCAACTGAACACATTTAAAACATGTTTACTTAATTTTAAAACATAATTTTATCAAACAACTTC